ATATTATTTTTATTTGTCAATTAAAAAAAAATAAACTGCTGGTTTTGGAGGCCCATGTACTAAATTGAAACAAAACAGAGATCAGCATGATCACTGTGCAAGGACTACATGCAAATTCGTGAATGTTTCATATTTTAATAATACTGATGATGAAATAAAATGTCTAGTCCCAGTATGATAATAGGTAAAGATGGCTAGCTGCCTGTAGAGGATATTTTTGTTTAATTATAAGCTAATTGTCCCTAGAAATTTGCATTCCAATTAGGGCAGATGACGCCCAAGTTTGAGTAGAATCCAAGCTTATATGGTATTTCTAAGAGGAATCCGTGTGGTAGATGCTGTTTGCTGTTCAGATTCTCCTTTTTGAGGTCTTATTGTCCAGCCTCTGCAGTGATGTTAGCACAGCTTTCAGCTGTTAGCCCCTCAAGGATGATCTGGTCTGTGGTGTGCCCTTTTCCAGGCAGTGCCTAGTCCCTGACTGTTCATTGCAGGGGTATAAAGAACAGCATATTGTTCCCACTTGGGGCAATTCTGAAGGGCCATTCCCCTCCAGAACTGTCCATGGAGTTGGCTGAGGCCGTTGTTGGGTCTGTGTCTCAGTTCTGCTTCTTCCTCTGCCCTGCCTTTTTCTGTCTCCACCTTTTCCCAGGGGTTTTTCCCAAGGGCACACTCTAATGAATATTTTGCATGCCAGACTTCCTCAGATTGAGGCTTTTCTTCAGATCCCAACATATAACTGGTACCAGTTGGCTCTTTGCCTAATCTTTTAGGTTTATGACACCTTCCCCAGGCCTGGTAAGGTGATAAAAGTCTCACCTTATTAGCTCCCTTCTGCTGTGGCAGGGGTCAGCTGAGGATTTCATTTAGCAGGCCATTCATAGTGTCTGTGAGCTATGGCAGCACTGTTGGCCTGGACTCTTCCATGGTGACAGCCCATAGGCAATGGAGTGGAGGCAGTTCCAACTTCTTACCAGCTGCCACCCAAGGTTGGTATTAGGATGTCAGTTCTGGTGCTCCTGACCTAATTGACCATGGTGTGGTGTGGTGAGGCCTGTTCTGAGAAACTGAAATGAAGTCAGGGTGATTGCCTGAAAAACCCGCTCCAGGATTTATTTTTTCAGTATACTTTCCCCTGGGTTTTTCTCAGAAGTTAAGCTGAAGGCTTTTATGATTTCATGGAGAGCACCTAAGAGTAGTCAACGGTCCCTGGTTGTGTACTAACTTCTCTTGATAATCTTGTTTCAAGTGCTGAGGATCAGCCAGAAAGGACAAGGTGTAGCATTAGGAAGAAAGGGCTTCAGGGAATATAGTGATTCTCCCTGAGTTTGATGCCAGACTTTGAGATAAAGGTGACACATGTTTCTGAAACCTCCACTACTACATGGTATTGAAGTGTCACCACATGCAGTTTGGGCTTGGGTAGGAGGTGAATATATGTACATCTAACTTCGAAGGTCCTGATGAGTGCACAGGCTTTGAGAGGTGGTGATGATGTCTGAGTTAGTAGGCAAAAATGAAGTGTGAGTATGTAATATGCAATATTTAGGACAGACTTATACAAAGAAATTGTTTGGTGATTATTTGAAATTCAGTTTAATTGGGCATTCTGTGTTTCATCTGTAACTCTTAAAAAAATAAAAAGAAGTGTCATAGAGTAGAGCTGAGAAACTGAGTCATTTTTTGAGCCTAAGGGATCAGAAGTGTTCTCTGAGAAAGGAGCTTGGGGGTGGTTTTGAATCTTGGGCATCATTTTGCCTGGTGGGAATGTAGAGTGGTAGAGAAGGGCAGGGGCAAAACTAGGCAATGCCAGAGAATGACCAAGGGCCTGGGGGTGGGGGAGGGTGGAAGTGCAAGGCCAGAGGGGCCTTGTCTTCTGTAGGGCTCTGGGTGGGCTGTCAGGTGAGGAGTGTCCCATGGACTTGTCCTAGAGCTTGAGGAACTGCTGGTGTTTTATTGTTACATGACTCATTTTAATTATAAAAGCACTATCAAATTATGCTAAAGTATTTCTAACACTGAAATGTTTATTTTCTTATCCCCCAGGTTCTGCTTTCTCTCTCTCTCCAGAGGTTACAACTGCAAATGACTTTCCATTTATCTTTTCAGAAATGTTCAGAGGCATAGATGTGTATATTCTTTTGGCTTTGTTTATACTTTTATTGAGCTGCAAACTTGATCACCATTGACATGCTGTTTTACCACTTCATCTTTCTCCCACTTATAGTATTGCTTGGGTTGCTTTCCATATTGTTACCAGTGGAGTTCTTGATTTAAAAATATAGTTTTTTATTTTATTATTGCTATTGAGTGTCTTGCCACCAAACTGGAGGCAGTTAAATATTGGTTCATAGTATGTTAACTTTTAAGGTGAATAGAAGAATGCTGGTTTGTTTCAGGACTTGGGGGGAAATAAACTAATGGCTCACTTTGGAGAGCCCAGCATTGCCAGTTTAGCTGTGCATCATGGAGTGACCAAAAACCATTAGCTGAATGGGTGGAATCAATTTGAATTGCTGAATAATTCAAAAACATTTTTGAAGTATTTAGATTAACATAGTATTTTTTTTCCTAATAAACATTTCCCTACTCACATATCTGAGAGCTGACATAATTTATCTCTTTTCCTGATTGGATATTTTAAATCTTTTCCTTTCCTCCCTGAAACCCTCCAATATTGATCTATAACTCAGTATCCTTACTCCAGCAGGCTCATTTGTAACATCTTATGATCTAGTTTCCAGGCCTTTCAAATAAATTACTTATTTATATGAAGGGACCATAATTGACTTTTCGGTTGAGAAACCCAATTCACCAAAGTGGCCAGGGAGAGACATAGTTCATTTTGCTCTATTATTAAGTCAATGTTCAAATAATATTTTAGGATTATTTATTTTCCTCAATATAAGAAAAATGTCAAGATTTATTTGCCATGTTTCTTAAATGTCAGAGGAAATTGACCTGAGGCCATGGAACTCTCAGAGCCTGGTATTCTACGGTTCTCTGCTGAAGGATTAAAAGTCATTGCTCTCAGGACTGGTTGTGAGCATTGTCCTTGTGCTTGGCGGAATCAGGTGTGGATGTGAAGGAAGCTGGGTTCTTGTTTCTCTGGATGAATTGGAGACATGATATCATTAAAGATGAAACCCTCATAAGTGGGATGAGCTAGGTAGGTAGGGGTAGGAGGGATATTTCTGAAGGTTTATTAGGAGGAGACGAGCCACGTTGAGCCTGAGGCAAGCCTTGCTTGAGGATGTGGATAGGAAGATATCGTAGTGTGTGGAAAGGCAAGAACCAAGAATGGGAGGGAGCCAGTAGGGAGATCCCTGTAGTAGAGGATGAGCATTGCTGAGTAGGCTGGGGTAAGAGCCATTCATTTAATAATTCAGTCAATCCAGCACAAGCAGAAATCAATTTATGACCATGTCAGAGTTGCAGGCACTGTGCCAAAGGGTGTAGGGTGTGAACTCAACAGGCTGAGAGTCCTCGCTTTTAAGTTCACAGTCCAGGGGTGAGATGAGCAGAAGGGCCATCTAACTAAGGATAAAGCAGAGTGCTTGGTGAAGGCTCTTCAGAGTATGTGAAGTCTGAACCCAGCCCAGAGGAATGGCTGGGAGTTGGCCAGAGAAAGGGGGTGAGGCAGAATATAGTGTTAAAATGACAATTTGAGTTAGGGTATGATCATAAGAGTTGGTCTTATCCTGTAGTTTCTGAGAAGTCCTTGATGGGTTTTAAAGCAGATGCTTCATGGTGAGATGTGTATTTTGGAAGGCTCCCTCTGGCAGCAGAGAATAGAGTGTAGGTGGGAGGGGACAAGACTAGAAAGTGGTGGTGGTGACTTGACTGGGACAGTGGCTGCAGAAGGGGGAGATGTGTTCAAGGTCAGTAGGTGTTAGTTTGGACAAGACTAGGTACCTGAATGTTGAGTAGGGCAGGAAGGGTAAGGCTGTTTGATGGAGTGTCACATGGACCTGGAAGTCACCCTGATACTTAGGGGCCTTGGGGGAGAAGAGAAGACCACAAAAAGAAGACCATGTGTGTTCTCATCCTTATACTCCAGTTTATTCTTTCTCCATAGATAGCCTTTTGAAAAATACTTAGGTCATCCTTTTTATTTTTATGTGGTTTTCACTCTCATAATGATTGAGTGGCTGCCTGGGAGCTGCAGCTTGCTGCTGTTACTCAGCATTGCCAGAGGTTTGGGCCACATATTGCTTGCCCAGGAAAGGGCCACAATTAAAAATGCAAATTACGGTTTCCATTGAAAGTATATTGCTTTTATACTGTTGTATGGTCCAACAATGGGAAGTAAAGCCATCGTAAACCAAGGACCATCTGTGTGCTTTTCTCCACCTTACGTTCTCCTCATAACCTGTGTATCCTGGCCACTGCACCATATCAGCATGTTGACATCTTCCTCATTCCTTTTGAGTGGCATAATACTCCACTGTATAGATGTATGGTCATTGATTCTGGAGAATTGTAATTGTAGCAATTACTTTACTTCTTGTTCTGCTGTTTTCTAGGAAATGAAATTTTAAAGAATGTGAAAAGGTGGTGAGAGGAGGGGGCTGTACCCAGTACCTGGTTGTGACTGCTGTAGTTTTTATCTTAGTTTTCATCCTGGGCGGAGGGATAAAGTATCTTTTTCTTTGTACCTGGGTTGGTAGGGCTGTTTTTTTGTTGTTGTTGTTTGTTTGTTTTTCATGAGGCTTGGTGCTTCATGGTTTTTGTCATTTCATATTCTCTCTCTCTCTGTCATTAAAATCTTCACAGAAGTTCTTATAGATTTTGATAACACATTGTTAGACGTAGTTCTTAACCGTAGCACTCTTGTGTGTGTCTTCATGTCTTATAGTATTAATAAGGATTTGATAGTAATGCTATGAGGGATTGCTTTTCAGATGCTGTTTAAAAACAAATCCCTGTCTGTACAAAGTTAATGAAACAATTTTTAAAAATGAACTTTTCTTTTCTTGACCAATATTGTTATTGTGTTGCAGGGAAAAGGACTTGGAGGCCAAGTTCATTATTCAAATGGAGAAAAGCAAAACAACAATCACAAACTTGAAGGCAAGTAGTGACTTTGCCCTGCTCCAGTTCTAGAAGGCTTATGTTTACACTGCAGTGGGGCTCGCTTGTGGGTCAATACAACACGCCTGTCATTTCTGCACTCTCCTTTCTCAGGTCAGGTGGCCACGTCAGCATGCTGTAGGGTAGGGCTTGGCCCTGAAGCAGAAAAGCGGATGGCCGTTTCCTCCCCCATGCCCTGTTTCTTTTGATCTGGAAGAGATCAAATGCTCTGATCCTCGAGCTCCCGGGTATGGAGCAAGGCCAGGTCTTTTCATCCTGAGAACTTGTAGTAGAGCTGTAGACTGTGCAGTACTGAGGAAGTTTAACCCTTAGATTTGTTAACATTCTTAATGAAGATTATCATGTTTTGTAATCCTTGAAGAAGAACTGATGCTATTATTCAAAACTTGGGAGATGAAAGATTAAAAAACAATACTTGCATTACTTTCTAGAAAAAAAACATACAGGAAAAAAAAGCAAGTTTCCCCAATGATGAATTCTTTCTTTTGTCCTTAAAATATACTGTTTGTTTCTTTGACCATTTGTTGAGGACCCAGAGGGCCCTTTACTCAGGGTGAAAGCAAGGGTGTGGACTTAATAATAAGGAAATAATGTGCTTTATGGGTTTCACGTTTGATATTTTCATTAACAGACAGGTTTGGGTTTCTGAGTTCTGCTGCTCTGTGGCCAAGTACAGATCAGTCTCCAGGTCATGTCTGAGGAATGCGTTTCTATTAATTTGTGGTCCAAGGAATTGAACACTATTAGATCCATATTTAGAGTCAGGCAACTTGATCTCCAGTGATGGAAGCTGGGGATGCTCCTGTCTTCAGTCAGGCAGTGCTCTGGATAACTGATAGGCTTCCTTGGGACTCTGGGTCCCTTTGCCCTAGGCATTCTCCACTGGAATGTTTTGTTTTCCCCCCACTTAGCACAGTTCTCTTGTGTCCTGGCCCTTTCTAGCCTACACTAAGCCCTTCCTGCCTCTCTCAGCTTTCTGTACCCATCATCACTCATCTACTCCCTGCTGTTAGGAACCTGTGCTTTGCTTCATGTTTGTGTTCTCAATGCTTTGGTAAAAGACCCTGGCCTCGGGTGTGCCTCCTTTCTTTATGCATCCTGTTGCTTTTTGTGTTTTACAAACATTTCTTCCTCCAATGTTTGAATAACCAGAATGGATGCCTGGATTTTTAATGTTTTATTATGTTATTACTTTAATTGTTAGTGTTTTAGCACTTGTTTCTTCGTAATATGTGAATCATGTTGAAAATTATGGTGCTTAGTGTAGTTATTTAGAGTATGTCCAATAAAGTATGTGAGACTTTTGGGACATATGAAGATTTTTGTTATTTATTTATTTGTTTGTTTGTTTATTTTATTAGAGCTTTATGGTTATACATAGCAGTTGGGTTCATCCCGACAAACTTATTACATGCATGGAAATTGATTTCAGTCCATGATCCCCACCTCTTCCTTCCCACCCCTCTCCCTCCTCTGGAGATTTTAAAATATGACTTTTGGGTTCTGTCACCAGCTGGCTGGGCTGGCAACTAAAAATTACTCAAACACAGAAATATCTTTTTGGGGGATCAGGGATGGCTCTACGACCTCAGGTGTCAGCTCCCATGCTGGAAGCAATGGGAGCAAGGGAGGCAAGAGGCAAGAGAGAGAGCACAACCCGAACCCCTCTATTTATTTAGGAGAAAGACATTCAATAGAAAATTCCACCCAAATAATGCAAGGGATTGGGTTTTGAAGGGTGGAGTCTTGCTTGGTGATGTCTTGTGGTCAGCAGATTGACTGACATCTTGGCAAGTCACATCCATCTCAAGTGCTGTGTAGGATCACAGAAGAGCAAGAGAAAAGGCATACATGCACCACACAGCCCAAGAGGCTGTGTAACACCAGACCAGTCCCCTCATACGTTCAAATATGCATAGCTCACGCAGCCCATGGATGGCTCACAACGGGGTTTAATTTAAGTATGTAGCATGGTAGACAAGAGATATGCATACATCTGTTTTAAACTCACAACATGATATGTCTTAGGAGATGTTTGCTTTTCAGAGGTGAGAGAAATTATTTCTGTATAGAGCACATTAAGAAAGCTTCATGGAAGGAGAGACATCTGACCTGGAGTTTTCAAGGAGCCACCAAATTGCACAACTCTAGGGGTACCAGTCCCATCATAGTTTGTATGACTAGCATTCCTTGGGGTTGTGCAAAGCCCAGCTTTGGGGTGAACTCTGGTGGAGGGAATAGTAAAAATCATTGAAGATGGAAAAACAGAGTCTGACTGGAGCAATGGGTTCATGTAGGTTAATCTTAAAAATACAAGAATAATAGCTGCGGGTATCACGGAGAACTCGGATCATGGGGTGGGGAATTGAGGTAGTATTTAAGTTTTATTTATTCAGTTTTTTTAGGGAGGCCAGAAGTAATTAAATGCTTCTTAGGGTATAAATATGAAAAGATAGTGATCATTTTAGGAACAGATTTTTTTTTCTTCCTAATTTGGGTCACTTGTCAAATGACAGTACTCTTTATAGTTTCATTGTTATTATTCTCTTTATTATTGTTGTTGTTTATCATTATTATTATCTTCTTTTCTAGATACCAGAAGGAGGGACTGGGGACTCAGGAAGAGAACGGATCAAGACCTTCACCTATGACTTTTCTTTTTATTCTGCTGATACGAAGAGTCCAGATTACATTTCACAAGAAATGGTATGATGTTATATTTCAAGATATTTATTTTTAAAAAAATTTTTATATAAAGAAAAACATGCCTTGTCTAAAAAAATCTTTGCTTTTTTTTTAGTAAGGTTCTCAGTGATTTGCATGAATCCTTAACATTTGAAAAATGTAGTTGGTTTATAGGTGATTTGTGGAGATTTGGTTTTCTGAGGCAAGGTAAGGATTGAAGTTGGAGGACTGGAATGACTGTGCGAAATCAAACATCAGGGCAAAACAGAAAGGGACAAGAGTGATGAGAATAGGAACCATTAGAAAGAGAGGAGATGCCTGCGTGAAAGAGGTTTGGGAGAGAAAAGATGAACTGATGTTGCTCTAGTTTGCATTGGTGTCAGACACTCTGGTGTTATGTGTGCTGTCTTGTTTAATCATCATTAGAATAAAATGAGATAAATTTTAACTCCATTTTTCTTTGTCTTAGAGTCTTGAGTAACTTGCTCAAGTTCATAGACTTAATTGACTTTGAATAGTAGCAGAGTTGAGAACCTGGGGCTCCTGTACATGGTGTGGAGAAGCCACTGGAAACTCTTAGGGTATGAAAGGAATTGAATGGCATGTTCTAGAGGACAAATGGATAGGACGGTATGTTGGCCAAATAAATGAGAGTGGGTGAATGAGAGGAGATGACCTTAGTGTCAAGGTGACTGGTTAATACCGGGTTTAGTCAGTGTTGGTAGATAGTCTGGTGAGAGATTGAATGTTATAGATATTGGAATCTAGACTTAGGCTTTATTATAGGAATGGGAATAAAGGGGCCGGTAAAAGGGAATTTGTTAATGGAAAAACCAGTTTAGTGTGGTGATCTCTAGAATCTCTTCAAAACAGGATGAGTGAAGAGCCTCAAAGGTCCTCTTTTTTAAACTTGTTTATTGAGCTGCTGGATTTTCCCCATTAATTCTGAATTTGAGGTCCTATGGACAGAGGGCTGTGCTGGGGGAAAGCCTGGGGATAGAAAAATAGCAGGACCTGGCACAGTAAGTAAATATTTGGTGACCCAGTGAACTGGTTTACAGATGGTGGTTAATTTACGGAACAGATGACATTTCCTGGGCTTTATAAGAGTTAAGATTAGGGAAGCAGGTAAAAGATTAGCTCTTCTGGAGGCTAAAAATAAATGCCTGGAGTTTAAAAAGAGTTCAAGATTATGAAACTCTTTCAACAGGTAAAGATAACTTCAGTGCTTTAGGTATACGTGCAGCACGTCTTCCCAAATACTTCCGGGTGTTTAGGTGAGTAACCTGAGATTGTTCCATTCAATAACAAAACTAAGAAAGCTTTGAGGTACATTTGTTAAAACATTGTGTAGTAGAACCTCATGTCAATAAGCCGTAATAGATTCAGGAAGATATCTATCCTTTTTTTTTTTTTTTTTGGATACTAGGGATTAAATTTAGGGGGCACTTGACCACTGAGTCATATCCCCAGCCCTATTTTGTATTTTATTTAGAGACAGGGTCTCACTGAGTTGCTTAGCACTTTGCTGAGGCTGTCTTTGAATTTAGACTTAGCCTCCTGAATTACTGTAACTTTAAACCTGCCTTAGCCTCCTGAGTTACTGGGATTATGGGTGTGTGCTACCTTGCCAGGCGAGATTTATCTTTAAAATACTCTGTTAAGGGGCACAGCCACATCAAAGTTTTTAGCAGCAAAATTCACAATAGCTAGACTGTGGAGCCAACCTAGATGCCCTTCAATGGATTAATGGATAAAAAAAATGTGGCATTTATACACAATGGAATATTACTCATCACTAAAAAATAACAAGATCATGGCATTTGCAGGGAAATGAATGGCATTAGAGCAGATTATGCTAAGTGAAGTTAGCCAATCCCTAAAAAACAAATGCCAAATGTCTTCTCTGATATCAGGGGGGTGACTCAAAATGAGGTAGGGAGGAAGAGCATGAGAAGAAGATTGCCTCTAGATAGGGAAGAGAGGTGGTAGGGAAAGGGAGGGAGAAGGGGAATTGCATGGAAGATGCAAGGAGACCCTCATCGTTATACAGAATACATGTATGAAGGTGTGAGGGGAAAAAAAAGTGTATCACATTAGATTGGGTAGAGAGAAGTGATGGGAGGGGAGGGGAGGGAAAGGGGGGAAGGAAGGACAGCAGAATAAAATAGGCATTATTATTGCTGTGTGTATATATGTGACTGCATGACCAATGTGATTCTGCAACCTGTACACTCAAAAAAATGAGAAATTATATCCCATCTGATTCAAATTTATGATATGTCAAGATCATTGTACTGTCATGTGTAACTAATTAAAACAAATAAAAAATTATAATAAAAATAAAAAAAATACTGAATCAAAAAAAATACTCTGTTAAGGAGAATGCCCTTCATTCCTAATTTTAACACCTGTTGTTACTAAAAAGGGCTCCAGTTTTAAATATTGACTAAAGTGTTTGTGCTGACATTTTAGACTATCTAGGTGAGCTATCCCTGCTATAATCAGGGAAGGACTCAAATTAACATGATGCTTACTTGCTCTCTCTTTAATCAGTTGAATGTAAAAATGTATTGTGAAAATATATCACGCCTATTACCAGAGCTCAAGTCAAGTTTCCCTTGATGTTAAATGAATGCTGGGTAAGATGACCATTGACATTAAACAAATACCAGGTAAGATGAACATTATTTTAGAATTAGAAAAAAAAGAGCAATTAAAATTTATAGTCATGTAAATTAAAAACATTAGTAAAATATTAAATAAAGTTTAATTTTCTTAATGGTTCTTCAAAACTCCAAAATGAGCCTTTGATCTCATACAACCTGTTCCTTAATTCAACCCTGGAGAAACCTGATACTTACAAGATCTCCCGGTGGGCAGGCAGGATGGGAGAGTCTTTATTTTAGCAGCGCCCTCTTGTGGGCAATTCTCCTCCAGCAAGGCCCGGTGATGCCTTGGATTACACTGGAAATCAGCTGTGAAGTCTAGTCTGTGTTTCCATATGCAGCTAAGTGGATTTGAGGTAACCTGGGCCAGGTGAGGGACTTTGGCAGAGTTTTGTTGCCAGTGGAATGATCAGTCTATTAAAGCTGACCTCCTTTTCCCATCTGTAGCAGATTTTTAGATTAGTCTTTGGTGGGAGCCTGATAGTCTTTCCTTGTAAGACCTCTCGAGATAAAGTTAGTGCTTGCTGCTTCTCAGGTCTCAGCTGGCTGTGGGTGGGTTACCTGAAACTGAGAATGAGTCTGGCCTGATCTCTACACCTCCAGAACTGCAATTTCTAGACCCCTTTTGGTGTCATGTCCACTAGTCTCAAACTCAAGCACTCATGCACATATACCTCGAGTCTGTCAGAAAACCATTTGGGTTAGCTTTTTAATAAAAGTAATAACAAAATGGTGGGTATTAATTTTAATCCTAGGGAAGAACTTCATTGTGGTAACATCTGGATTTGATATAAGTATGACATTGTTTTAGCCCCAGACCAAACTGTAAGAGAAGATCCATCTTCTATCCTCTGAGAACTTTTTGTAAGGTGTCCCTATCCAGTGAAATGATCTTCCCTCATTTTTCTTTTTTGTTTAGAAGGAAGAAATTGGAGAAATATTTTAGAGTTTTTACTCAAGTGTAGTGATGAAAATGAATCTCAGACTGATGGTTTGGAGCCCTTAGTCTCCCTGGGATTATGGGTCTTGCTTCTTAACAGAAGTTTGAGGAGGAGTGCTTTCAGAGGGGTTTAGGACTTCATTGTCAATTTAGAGGTTTGGGAAGAGGATATATAACCATAAAACCTTTGGAGTCTGAAAGACCTGGGTGAGGTCCCAGCTTGGCCACCCACCTGCAGGTGCTCACTTCCCTAACCCTCCCTTTCACCTTCCTCAATTGAGGTCTGGTAATGCCACTCACCCTGTAGTAATTTCATGAGGATTAATACATGAACACATGAAATTGTATAGAAACTGCCCAGTGAGCCACTGTTATAATTGGAAATTGAGTACAGTATCAGAATTTGAGAATAAGGTCAGAAAATATCAGGTTGTATAGCTGAAATGAGTAGAAATTAACTCAGAAGGAATGCCCTTGGCCATCTGTGGAAATGACTCAATTGAAGTGGTAGTTTGTGAATCTTTCACCTCCTTGAGAACGAGGAAACAAAGTCCAAACAAGATGCTGGGAGGAAGATATCTAGAGAAAGCTGAAGTTCAGTTGGCTATATTTTCATTTTGTCCAGGGATGGCAGGTGTTATTAATAGGATTTTTAAAAATTTGGATATGAACCAGGCATGGTGGCTCAGGAGGTTAAGGCAGGAGGATCGCAAGTGCAAAGCCAGCTTCAGTAACTTAATGAGGCCCTAAGCAACTTAGCAAGGCCCTGTCTCAAAATAAAAAAAATATAAAGGCCTGGGGATGTAGCTCAGTAGTTAAGCATCCCTGAGTTCAATTCCTGGTACTACTACTACTATACTACTACTACTACTACTACTACTACTACTAATGTGGATTTGAGATGAAGATGGCCAGGTTTACCTGTTTTGCTTATTTTGAAATCACTTGGGGAGTATTATAAGACACTGATTCCTGGGTTTACAGCCCTTAGATTGCATTTCATTAAGCTGGGTCACCAGCCTGGCCTGTGGAACTCTTTGAAGTGTCCCAGGTGATTCTCAGGTGTAGCATAGTTAGGATATATTGCTCTCAGCCCTTTGGTAATAGTTGGAGATGACTTTGTGGTTAATCTAATTGGGTCTCTTGTTTTTTGGCTAATGGACATCACTCACAGGCTGGTCATTTCTGCAGGAAATTAACTCAGAAAGTGGGTAAGGTTCCCACTTTGGACTGTGGAGATTCCACCTAGGAATTCTTCACCATTTTATGGTGCTGTGAAGATAACTGACATCTTTTAGTTGTCGATGTTCCTATGTTTGAAGCAGGGAAAAATTTGATGTGCCCTTAGTGTACTGGGCTTAGAAGACAGGAAGTAACACTAAATAAAGCTTTGGTTCACCCCTTCCCAGCTGGATATAACTAGAATCCTTCACTTCTTGGTTTGTCTAATTTACATTAGTTGTCTTCCTGAATTATTTGTACTTCATCTTGTTTTACTCTCCAAATTGCAATTATGTGGTGCATGGACATGGACTCAGACCATTGTAGGTATGACCCCCATCCCCACACAGGTTGTCTACCACTCTCTCCGTCCTGGGCAGATATCCAACAGGAGAAAGCATCTGGACTCTGTCATGAGGGAATCCAGCCATCCTGGCCTCATTTATACCTGTCTATCACTCAGTTTCAGGAAAACCTTCAGAGATTTATCTCTGTGAACCTGGACCCTTAAAAATGAGGACTTGGATTTAGCATGGTTCAGGCAATAATTTATTGCTACTGTGACCTTCACGTTTTGAATATTCGTTTCTAGAAGTTCTGATAGAATGAATAGCTTTATAAACATATAATTATGAATGGTAAATCATCATGCTTTTAAAATCTTTTTTGCTTCTAGACATGATTAACACTTTGGCTTGTTTACTTTGATTAAGTAGGAAAGAGGATGGGGTTGCTTTTTGCTTGCTTAGAAGTTTACTTTTGATTAAAAACTAGGGTACATACATATTCTGTTGTTAACAGTCCTTCAGTGATTTATTTGTATGGTGTAATCCTTAAGAGATGAAAGTAGCATTCAAGAACATTGTCAGCACTGCAGGGGTTTTTATTAAAATCCATGGTAATTGTATCTTTTGTGTTTTGTGTGTGTCTGTTTTTTTTTTTTTTTTTTTGTCTTGCAGGTTTTCAAAACCCTTGGCACAGATGTGGTGAAATCTGCATTTGAAGGTTATAATGCTTGTGTCTTTGCATATGGACAAACTGGATCTGGAAAGTCATACACTATGATGGGAAATTCTGTACGTTGTTTGCCTGGGAAGGAATTTCTTATCTTCCTCTGAACTGATAGAATTATCTTTTTATCTACTTGGTCTGTACTAACATGCTTTTCATGTTCTGATTATTCTTGTGTAATAAGATAAAAGTCAGTAATAAGTTGGACTAAATTTCCTTTGAGAGATTTTAAATTAGAAATAGTTTTAAGTATATAAGTATGAATAATGGATGCAAGTCCCAGTTCATTTTCTGTTTTTAAAGGCCTTATAATCTTATCAAGAAAATATGCTGGGCCCACAAGTAATTTATTCTCCTTTTCTGCCAACACAAAAGTTTGAATAAAAATACTGAAGTCTGTTCTTTTTAAAATTATTCAGAACATTTTCCCTCAAGTAAAAAATGTAAAAAATAAATCTAACTTTTTGATTGAAAGGTATTTCATAAATCCAGTAAATACATTAAAAAAGTTAGAGTTTCATAGTCTACATATAGTTTATAAGGGTAGTGTACATATACTTTATATGGGTATCAACATAGTTTATACAGTTCATTAGTTTATCTATGTAAATTAACAGATATTAATGTTACACTTGCTCCAAACTATGAAGGAATGAAAAGTTGACAGGATTGTTGGAATTTTATCTTGTCCTATGTTTTCTCCAAATTTAGACAGTGTTTGCGTGTGTTTTCTTATGTCACAGAAAAAGCGCTATTCAGTGACTGCCAAACCTGTTACGTGTTCTAGATGTAGAGATTCTGGCAGAACTTGAGGGCTTCCTGCCAGCAGGAGTGGCAGTATCTTCAATGCTAAAGGTTTGGTGGTTCATGAAGTAGTGTGTTGGAGGAGAGCAGGGCTTCCCAGATGAACTTACTTCAGTGCACGTAGAGTGACATCTTAAACTCAGGCTTCTATTTTAAAGTAGAATGATGTACATGTTGTGCTGTGCATCCTCAATGCTGAAAAGTAAAGCAGAACAAATGAGAGCTGCAAACAATATTTGAAGAATCTTGCATTTACTTTTTCTTATCACTTCTTTTTTCCTGCTTCCCTTCTATGCCTTTGGGGAGAAAAAACCCGTGTATGAATTTTGTTGATTCCTAGAAGCTAGTGCTCATAAATGATAGGTATTTTTCTCTGACCTTACAGGTAAGTACTTCTTGGGTGTTCTTTCTATATTTAGGGTATGATAGTTTATTTAAAAAAAAAAAAAGTATCACGCTAATCATGAGGAGTGGTGTTGTTTGGGACTCCATGAGAACATTTTGCCTTGTCTTGTACCATTGTGATGCTTACCAGATTAATGCCGACCAAAACATGATTATTGAATATGATACCCACATTGCAAAGTGATATGATGTATTAAATCTTTTCTAGGGAGGCCATTGCATCAAAATGAGACATAAATTACATGTTTTAATATGGTTCTCTCATCTATGTTTTAAGACAGCTAGTAATAATCTTGAGGACTTACTAAAGCTTTCTTAGTGTTTCTTTTCTTCCTGATGTATATTTCTCTTTCTGTGTCATTTAACTAGATATTTTTAACATTTATTTTGCAGTTGGACATAGTCTTGTTTTATAGAGAATAAGTTTCCATATCTTTGCAAGCTATGATTTAACTGGTTCACTTCTAATAATCACATATTGTCCAAGTCTCAGCATGTAGAAATAGAAGGTTCTAATGCTCTCATTTCAGAGAATAAGCAGTCCTGCCGAGGGTAAATCGTGTCTAGGGTCCCTGGGTGGCAGGCTGGGGTTGGCATGCAGGCCCTTGGAGTCCAGTTCCATTCCAGCAAAATGCAAATTCAGTTGTCAGTTATTTTTATTTCAAATGACAGCTGTGACATTTTTCCTTCTCATTGCAGGGTGATTTGGGCTTAATACCTCGGATCTGTGAAGGGCTCTTCAGTCGGATAAATGAAACCACCAGATGGGATGAAGCATCTTTTCGGACTGAAGTCAGGTAGGGTTTGATGGGGCGTGAGCAAGTGAGAGCTTGGTTGTAGCCAGGGCTGCTTGGTTTGTGCTAAAGTACTAGCCTTTCTTAGGGAAAGAGTCTGCTTTTTCCTCTCCTGTACTTACAGTGGTTGTGAATGAAGCTGAAAACACTAGCTTTTCAATGACTTTCTTGGGTACAGTTTGGATCAGAAATAACATAGCTCAGTTGGAAACTATAGCATTTGATGTTTATCTCAAATGGAGTTAGCCTTTGACTTTTACGAATATACCCAATTACTTTCCTCATTCTTTTGGCTGAGTAAGGTTTGTGTTATTCTTCATGTTGGCCAAATCACTCTAAATCTAACCTATAAATAAACCTGGTGGCCCTGGTGCTTTTCCTCTTTGAAATTAAACCTGTTTGGGAGCTTGTCTCTTCAGTGGTTTTGAGGGCAGATATGTCACTTGTATTTCTCATGGCTGTTTGGCCTTCTTTGGTGGTATTGGGGCTTTGGAAAAGTGATTTAAATCACTCTAGATCTCCTTTGCTTAACCTATAAAATGGGGATAATAGAAGTACCTATTACTGAGCTATTTTAGGGATTAAATGAAATAGTCAAAGTGCTTAGCATTGTATATGATACAATTACCTCTCATAAGTTGAAGTTGCTGTTATTATGAGTCTTGTTATTGTTATCAGTGCCTGAAATCATTTTTTGAATTCCATTTTGTTTAAAATTTTTAGCTACTTAGAAATTTATAATGAACGTGTAAGAGATCTACTTAGACGGAAGTCATCTAAAACCTTCAATTTAAGAGTTCGTGAGCATCCAAAAGAAGGACCTTATGTTGAGGGTAAGAATGAATATTTTGTATCCCTGTCCTTCCTGAGGATTTGTGTAAAAATAAAGCTTTTGACAAAAAAAATTAGCATAATAGTGAAAATTAAGAATTTGTTTACTTTTGGAATTTTATTATAGTAAAAATAATATGAGCTATCATTACACAGTGTTCATCTAATGAATTCATACTTCACAAGATGTTTACTGATTTCCTGAGGCTTGCCAATAGATTTCCTTTGGCTTAAAACAATCTCTCAGAATTTGTTTTCCAGTGTTCTTAGGCTAGATAAGCAAGCCTGTATCCTGTATCTTTCCATAGTGTGGCATTTTAGCAGTGTACCTTTACTGATTCTAGTTTTATGTTTTATGTTTTATGGCAAGAAAGATATTGTGAGACCTATTGTTTGTTAAGAAGAGCTTTAACAGGATTTCTGTGCATGGCACTCAGCATCTGTGTTGAGATACACTAGTATGGCACAGTCACTTGTGGGAAATACAGCAGAATGATGGGGAAGAAACTGGCCTTGGCTTCTTATTTTAAAAAAAATTGGCTGGCTTTTAGGCCATCCTTGTAAAGAAGCTAATCTCACTCAGCATAAGAAAGCTGAGTCTTGGCTGGTCTACAGGCATTGCACATAGAGGGAGACAAGCTTTTTTGTTTGGATTTAGTTTTTCATGTGTGTTTCATTGGAGGCCAGACTGGGATCTGCTTATGGGTTTAAAGATATATCTATTTTGGGTTGCCTTTTTTTTTAACCTCAAGATATCAGGTGGCCAGACACAGTGGCACACTCCTGTAATCCTAGTGGCTTAGGAGGCTGAGGGAGGAGGATTGCAAGTTCAAAGCCAGCCTCAGCAAAAGCAAGGTGCTAAGCAACTCATTAAGATCCTATCTCTAAATGAAATATAATATAGGGCTGGAGATGTGGCTCAGAGGTTAAGTGTCCCTGGGTTTAATCTCCAGGGGAATTGAAAAAGATACCAGGTATACCATAAGGACCCCATCTGAATTATATTAAATTTTTATTTGCACTTTTGCCTTCCATTCCCACAGTAATATATGCAATCATGAGGTTTATGATAGCTATTATGGTTGATAGTTTTTAGCTTAACATGTGTCCTTATGTTTTCTTTTAATTGCATTATTAAATGTTAAAACCTATAAAACTGGCATATGAAGAGTTGGTAATCAAAAAGGGTATCCTGTATCCTGATGTAGATAACTATGGGGATTTAGTTTTGTTTTTTTTTTTTTGAGTGTGAACGTGTGCACACATGTTGGACATTGAACACAGGACCTTATGCATGCCAGGCAAAACACTTCACCACTCAACTACATCTCCAGCTCTGGGGATTTAGTTTTTAACAAATATACAAACATTGGAGGAGTATGGATTATTAAGTTTTCTGGGAGGAGAAAAAGTAAACTAGTGTCATACTTCAGATTTTACAGCAGGATAAATGGTAAATGGATCAAAGATTTATATGTAAAAATAATATAATAACTACAAGACACCATCGATTAATTTTTTTTTCAGAAACTTGGAGGGGGAAGGCATTTAAAAATTTGAAAAATCCAGAAACCATAAAACAAATTTGTCAAATTTGAAATGGTAAAAAGTAAAAAACAATCAGAGACACTGTAAACACAGGAAAAAGCTAAATTACAAAATGGGGAAATATTTTTAATTCAGATTTCAGATAAAGCATTAATTTTCTTAATATATGAAGAGTATTTAAAGATCAATAAGGACAATCAAACAAGTAAAAGAATGTAAACAGATTGTTTATAGAAATGGAAATACTGGTGCTTTTTAAATAGCAAGAAAGAATGCTCACCCTCACTCATGATAGAAGAAAGTAAAATAAAAATACTTTGAGATGATATTTGTCACCCATCTTTGGCAGCTGTAAATGAGTCTGATAAGAGCATTGGGAGGGTATTGGAAGACAGCCTTTTTATACATTGCCACTGTTAGGTGTAAATTGCCCTTTGTGAAGGACAGTTTTGCAAAATGTATCAAAATTTCAAATGCCCTTTGTTTTAGCAATTCCATCTCTAAGAATTTATTTTGTGGAAACATTCCCACACATTTGAAAAGACCTATGTATGAGATTATTTGTAGTCACATTACTTGTAATTGAACACAATATGTAAACAACCTCTATAGTCTCAATAGGAGACTGGTTAAATTGCTTACAGTACATACTTCAGTGAAAGCTCTGAATCCTTAAAAATGAATGAGAAATCTCCTTAACTGATACAGAATATTGCTTTTGTTTTTTTTTTTTTCAATGGTAGGGTCATGCACACTCTAGGCAGGCACTCCATCACTGAGATGCACCCCCAGCCTCAGACTGTTCTTTATGTATCATTGCATTAAAAAAATGCAGGTTGCAAAATAATGTTTATGATATGCATTGTTTCTGAGGTGCTGGGGATTGAATCCAGAGCCTTGTACATGCTAGGCAAGCACACTATTACTTAGCTATAACTCCAGCCTCAGAATATTCTTTAATATATTTTCATTACATTAAGACAAGCAGGGTGAAAAATAATATTATGGTATACAATTTTCTTTCTTTTTTTGTGTGGCTTTCTCTGAGTTAAACCCAGGCCTCATGCATGCCAAGTGCCAGGGCCACCACTGAGCTACACCCCAAGCCAAGTATGCTCCCATGTGTATGAAGTGGGGGAAGTGGGTTTATTTACACACACACACACACACACATACACACACACACATACACACACTTGCCTACACACACACACACACAATTGCCTATACACATATGAGCTGTTTCTAGAAGGGTATGGAAGTACTGATAATATTTGTTTGCCTGACAGAAAAGGAAGGAGCTACAGCAGAGGAGTTGGAAGTATATGAATGTTCCCCCCTCTTCAAAAATATATATGTACACACATATATTTGAAATGCTTTAAAATGCTCAGATTTTATGTGAAGACAGTGCTTTTACATTTTTCTTCTTTGTTCTATTACTAATGCTAAGAGATTTATGTCAGTAGCTAACATCCTAAATACCCTATGTAATAGGTACACAATATAAGATGGGGTAATTGAGGCCCAGTGAGACTAACCAACTTGTCCAGCTCCTGAGTGCATTATATGCCACCAAACTGTAGAAACTGGTAAGGTCTTCAGATAGCTCAGCAGATTTGTTGACATGCATTATTTCATAGAAGGAAATTTTTTCAGTTACTATGTAATGGGATTTCTTTACCTCCCTCTTTTTTCCCCCAGATTTATCCAAACATTTAGTACAGAATTATGGTGATGTGGAAGAACTTATGGATGCAGGAAATATCAATCGTACCACAGCAGCAACTGGGATGAATGATGTCAGTAGCAGGTCTCATGCCATCTTCACCATCAAGTTCACTCAGGTAAGGGCAGCTGTGGGGCCTGCTGGCTCCATCCCTGAGGACTTTACTTGCTGATTAGCACCAGCTGAGGACTGATCATTGTTGAACCAGGAACAGCAGCAAGCAAAGGTGGCTGTCATTTTCTGGTTAATTAAAGTTGAACATGTGCTGTGCACCGAGTTTCTCCGTGGTTACAATCACAGTAATTTTCAATGTCCTGTTGTGTACCTGTAAGAAATGTTTAGTAGGCTTCCATCATGTTCTAGACTTAAAAAGAAAAAAGAAACACACACACACACACACACACACACGAGCATTCCCAAAAACAAAACAAAACAAGAACACCTTGCTCTTTCCTGAATTAAGGAAAAGTTTTTGTTGTTTTGAGCTGTGTGGGAGATAATGAATTATGAGCCAGAGCCAGACCAGCTGGAGGCCAAGGTGAGTGAGTGCAGTGCATTATCACTCCATGGTGCTCACCCTACAGTGTTGATTATGATTATTAGAATGATATTAAAGGACAGCGAACATTTTAAGTACTAATATAAGAGTCATTATGATCAAGTGATGTAGAGCTCCTTGAACATGGGGAAATGATCAAACGTATATAGTTTAAAACTGAGGCCAGCAGAACACTTGAATCAAAATATGCAGGGTTCTCTTAGGGCTTAAGAATATGTTAGGAATTTGGTGATGTCTTCACCAACATGTCAGAAACAAAGGCAGCATTTTATTAATGAAGGGGATCACAGAGTAGCAAAATGAAAAGATTCTCTAAGGTTAGTCAGAATAACTCTCTTTATCTTTCCTTAGACCTTTGCTTTGATTTATAATAGTTTACTAGTTTTTCTCCTGATTTCTGATTAGTTAGGGTTATGGTTGTCTCTAGTTTTTAAGGGGTTTACATTTTTATCAAAAGTTTAGTTTTGACTTTTGGTTCATAATGTAAAGCATAAATTAAAAGTCTTTGGAAAGATTAAATTTTGGTAAAATTAAACAAGGGATATAGTATTAACATTTCACATTAAAAATTGTGAAAATGTTTTATCAGATAATGATCAAATTATTTTTTACATAATTGTGTACATTTGTCATATTTTGGGGAGCTTTTGTGCTTGACATGCTGCAGATTGTAGAGGAGAATGGGCCTACTTTCATATTCTGCCACACTCTGATTCAGTGGGGCTCTGTTGAGAATAACAGTGATTTGAGCAATGAGATGGTTCCAGCAAGCTAAAGAATCACATATGGTAGACTTCTTGTATATGGAATTGGATTTGGGAAGTTTTTGTAATCCCAATAAGACAACAAAATGAAAAAAAGATCTACCCTGAGAAGTTGCAATGAGAAGTGGAAATAATTAGAATTTGTATCACAAACATCAGGCCCCTTTGTATCTCTCCAATTTTACTTTCATATTTGACTACAGGCAAAATTTGATTCTGAAATGCCATGTGAAACCGTGAGTAAGATCCACTTAGTTGATCTTGCCGGAAGCGAGCGTGCAGATGCCACTGGTGCCACTGGGGTCAGGCTCAAAGAAGGGGGGAATATTAACAAATCTCTCGTGACTCTGGGAAACGTCATTTCTGCCTTAGGTAAGTTTATGCTCACCATTTGCCTCTTTTTCCTTGTGGTGCTGTATTAGTACAAAGCAGTTATGCTTTATGTTTGTCTTGCAAACAGAGGCAACATCCTCAAGGGTTTTTGAAGCAAAATTAGAGGAAAAATATTTTAGTAATTATCCTTTCTTTGTCCTTCTTTCCTTCCTCCCTTTAGCTGATTTATCTCAGGATGCAGCAAACTCTCTTGTAAAAAAGAAGCAAGTTTTTGTGCCTTACAGGGATTCTGTTTTGACTTGGTTGTTGAAAGATAGCCTTGGAGGAAACTCTAAAACCATCATGATTGCCAGTAAGAGTTTTCAGTTGTTTTTCTAAACATTCAGTATTTTCTGTGAATGAACTGTAAATATTTACGTTGGAAATGTCTCATTTGGGTGTAATACCTTTTATATCTTAAAAAAGTAATGGTTTATCAATCTTGAAATTTACTTACTGTATCTAATATGTAATCTTATAGTATTAACTGTTATGTAGCCTGGCCATGTTATAGAAGTTGGGATATCATGCAGAAACTCTTAGTTTTTCTTTGCTTATAATACAATGCAGAAACTTTTAACTTCACTAACTCACAGAAGAAAATCATTTTTTACAATGGAAAAAATAATCTAACCTTGTATTTCTATTTAAAGCAGTAGATGCGACATTTGAAATTGAAAATTGAGAGAAAAATTCCAATATATATAACAAATAATGATAACAATAAAGAAACTTATTTATTTTGTCTGATTAACTGAAAGAAGCAGAATAGAGAAAAATACGTAGAAAGAGGGAATAGTCATTTTCTTCTCCCCCTTCCTCTTTCTCTCCTTCCTTTCCTCTTCATATGTCCCTTACCCTACCAATTGCCAAGCGTTAACTGCAGAGGCAAGGGATCTTACCTGGGTGTATAACTCCATGAATTTCACAGTCATCCTGACTTTAAGGTTTGGTGGGGGTGGGTTGGGATTAACCAAAGTTTCCAGAAAGAAAGAATTAACTAGTCTATTGAATCATTTAAAAAATTATCATGCTCTAGTAGATTTTTCCAGATGGTTGGCTTGACCAGAAATATTTAAAGTGTTTTAATTCCTGCTTAATTTTGAGAAGTTCAAAGAGTGTTAAAATCCTCTTTTTATATTTTCCACTGCCTTAACTATGCTGGGGTGTCTCATCCTATTTTAAAGTTGGTTAGATGGCTGATTCTAGACTTGAGAAGAGCAAAATGACATTTAATTTGGTGTGGTGAACACCCTTTCCTATAAAATCTTAGATAATTTTTAATATTCATTACTATGGCAATGAATATTTAGTCTATCCAATGACCTGGGGTTAATCTGACTTTTAAATTACAAACCAACTTTGTGTTAAATGAAACATGGAGTGCTAGATAAATTATTTTTTGAATTCATTCTTCACAGCTATTTCACCTGCTGATGTCAATTATGGAGAAACCTTAAGTACTCTTCGATATGCAAATAGAGCCAAAAACATCATCAACAAGCCTACCATTAATGAGGATGCCAACGTCAAACTCATCCGTGAGCTGCGAGCTGAAATAGCCAGACTGAAAACACTGCTTGCTCAAGGGAATCAGGTTGGGTTTTTCTGAGATTTATGGATAATTTTCTTTGAGTAATGGCATCTATTTCTAGATCTTAATGAGACAATTATCTCATAGTATTGATTTGAGTAAATAAGTGCTAAGTAAAGCTTCGAATGAGTTAGCCAGTCTCTCCTTTACATCAACCTCCTATTGGCCTTTGCATTCATTATGTGCTTCATATGTGAGATTTTATCCACTAAACCTGAAATGATTAACTATCTAATAGTTATCAATTATGGATGGAAATTTAGCATGCAATAGGATTAGCGGCATAATCTCCATTAGTGGAAAGAAATTGAGATGCTTAGAGTAATATTTAAAATTCTACCCATGCATTTTATGACCTTAAAATGTATTTTAGCAGAATGAAAGACTTGTTTGAACACCTTTCTGGAATCTCTGTTTCTTATCACCCGTCACAGAGGTGGATATAGTGATTCATTGACACGTGTGACATTATACCTGTCACCTGGCTGTATTGCTGTCCCTGGGGTCTTTATTGATTATTGAAATGACCTCACTTCAGGATCTTTTGGGTTTCTAGTGAAGAAGCCTTATCCCTTTTTTATTTTTATAGCAAACTTTCTTAAAGTCTGCAAAGCACACACATACAGAGTTACATTCTGTGGGCTGGGGACATAGCTCAGTTGTTAGAGTGCTTGCCTTGCATGCACATGGCCTGGCTTCAATCCCCTGAACCACCAAAAAAAAAACAGAGTTACATTCTGTGATGAATAGTGAGTTAAGTTCACGTGGGCTTAGATACTGCTGGGAAGAAAGGCCACCCTTGAAAGAAAATCAAGAACAAGTTATATTGGAGTTAAAAATAAAGATACATTTCATCCCATTTTCTTAACCCCTGAATGTGTGTCTTCAGTACATCATTAAAAGAAATATTTTTCTTTAACTGCAAAGTGGTCTCCAGAGCAGTGTTTTCCATGTAGGAACATATAGCACTTGAAGCTCTTGACATCCCATACACAGCTTGATTTATGAAAATACTGCCAGGATGGAAAAGCTCACCAAGCTTCCTGTGTCCTGAAACACACCTGACAGCCCTATCCCACCTGATTAACCAGATAGGAATCATTCATTGTGCTTAAAAATATCTCCACACACATTTTACTTTGTGATGTGAGCTTCGTGTGTGAAAGGAAGTTGTCAGAATCAATGGTACAGCTGCGTGTGATGTAAAAACTTACAACCTGAGCCACATATACTTTGTTACTGGGATCCCTTTTCAATGTTTTAAAAGCATTATTCCTCTCAAGTAAGCATTTAAAGATTATTTGATAGGATCAAAGTACTGTATGTCAAGGAAGTATTTGAAAAATTCTAGGTGTAACTTCTTATACTTAAACATTTAAGAGAATGAAGGAAAAAAGGAGAGATCATCCTTTTAAACAAACAGAAAAAGTTTAATTTTTTAAAACATTCACACATTTTCTAAGGAATGTCTTGAGAGGTTTTGACATGCTGAAGTGGTGCCTTACATTTCATGCCCTACCCCAACTACTGATGTACTTGAGGGAGTATTTTTGTTACTGTTGTTTTGAGGCTGAGTATGGAATGGATGGAATGGTCTATTTTACATCACATTGAAGATAAATTCTTTGATATAAATTACATTGGAAATGGGAGTCCAATTAAAAGTTATTTATTATACTCTGAAGCTATAAATTATTGTGAGACAATCCAGGCTTACCCTAAAATAATTAAATTATATTATTTAAAAAAAATAAGCAGGTGTACTTAAATACTCATTAGAAATCTCTATGAATCTTTCTGAGGACATTGTTCTATTTGTACAGTATTCTATTTCAAGTGCTACTACTATGGTTCAATATTTCAGAATATCACTGAAATCAAAATTCTGTTCTATGGTTATTTATTTAAGCACAGCTAAATAAAAATTAGTTTCTGCTTCTAATAATTTTGCGTATTCGCTATTGCAAATGTCATGTATCAGTTTTAAAAGTATAATTTTATAAAATAATATGTTCTGGATGTATTGTATTTGCATCACCTACTACACTAGAAGGTGTACGTATGTTCAGTTTTAGTAGTTACGTAGAAACTGCCAAACAGTTTTTTAAAATGTTTATGCTAATTTATTCTCCACCATAAGTGTATGAAAATGGCAGTTTTAATTGCTATAGATCTTGCCAACATTTGTTATTGTCATTTTTCATTGCAACCATTTTGATAGATATATACCAGTGTCACAGAATGATTTTACCTTTGCACTTCTCAGATGATTAGTAATGAAAGTGGATATTGGGATATCCTTTTTTTTTTATGAAGTTTTTGTTCTCTTTTATTACATTAATACATATTTTCACGTATTTCTGCTTTGAATTTGGCAGAGACAGAATGTCTCTTGACTCCCTCATCTCTCTTGTATATATTTGGAGACAAGTAAATTAAACAGTATAACAATGAAATAAACAACAAAAGTTAAACAGCAAAAAGTTGGTGGGAAAGAGAAGATGGAAGAACAACAAATTGCTCATTTTTGTAGCTGGAGCCAATGATAAATTTTAAATAATAGAAGTATCATTATGTAGAACTTTTAAGATTGATACATCTGAGATAGGGTTACAAAGCAGAACTCAGTTATCTGTTGGTATAAGAACAGGCAAAGGGCTGGGTGTGGTAGCACATGCCTGTAATCCCAGTGATTTAGGAGGCTGAGGTAGGAGGATCACAAGTTTAAAGCCAGCCTCAGCAACTTAGTGAGGCCCTAAAAAATTTAGTGAAACCCTGTCTCAAATAAAAAGTAAAAAGGGATTGGGATGTGGCTTAGTGATAAAACACCCCTGGGATCCCCAGTGGCTGAATAGAATAGAGTAGAATAGAATAGAATGGAATAAAATACAGGCAAGGGCCTACCAGTTAATTCAAGGAGAAAGAAAGCAATGAGGAAAGAGAATATATGAGCTTAAAAAAAGATCACTTTGTCATGACAAGTTCTCAAATAAAATGATATATGATGTCAACTTTCATAAAGGAAAAAAACAATGAAACTATTGGAAATAACAGGAAACAGTGACACATATTTGCCACAGAAAGTTTGAACTCTTCTCATGCTGTGAGAGCTCAGGTAGACAAAAGTAAGTGAAGATGTATATGTACATAATAGCATGAAGATTTCCTCTAATCCGTGTGATGCAAACCAGGAAAAAATGTTTCAGCTCATTCAACATAAGACTGATTTCCTTATTATGAAATGAACATCTAGAAAAGAATAAAAACAACCACAACCTAATAGAAAATTTAAGAAAGAATGTGAGCACAATTAACAGGAAAAAAAAAGTTTCCAATGGTTTCCTGAACCTACAAAACATATGTTCAAAATACAATAGTGCAGTTGATTGTATAGTGTATTGGCAAGAGTGGGAGGCAAGAGGTGCTTAATTATGCTGTTGAGGGAGGCAATATTGCTGTATTTTTGAGATAACATCACTCTCAGTTTAATAACACATGAATTTAATCTAAATATTATTTAATCCTGAACATAGACACCTTGCATAGAAGAATTGACAGTGGTTTATGTTTGTTAGTTTTCTTTTGAAAGAACTTAAGTAGGTCTTCCTTTATACATGCTTCAAAATTTGTAAAAAAATTGGAAATACATATTTTCTAAAAGAGCTTTTGGTCATAATAGCCTTTGAGGCATATCACTCAGTTAGTGATTATCTACTAAGCTGATAATGAATTAGTAATGTTTCAGCTTTAGTTATAGATAAAAAAGTCCAATGGTGGATTCTGCAAAATTTGCCATATTATAAAGGGCTAATTTTTTAAAAAAATGTCAACCCTATATAAACAAAACAGGCTTGGTAATAATTTTAATTCATTTCTTAAATGAAAAGTATTTAATGAAGTACCTTCTGTGTGTAAGACAACCTGCTAGGTGCAACTGACACTTTGTAGTAACATTATAATAAAGCTTCTGTTTCATTCAAATTTGGAGGACGAATTTGACTAATAGGTTAACTTTCTGGCCTCATTCTCTGTCAATCTGATTAAAGTGGGATCCTAGCTTTATAATATGGGACTATCTCTAATTATAAAGACCCCATGTTAGGGAATTTTTTCAGGATTAGAATAACATATAATGCCAGCTGAGAAATCATAGCTTTAGATTTCCCTGGGGGCAGTGACTCCTGTAACTGGGTGTGTCCCTTGCCAGGACCCTGGAGGATGTACCAAGGAATGCTGGGTCCTGTGGTGCATGATTTTTAAACCACTGTGGGCCCCACACATGTCCATATGAAATGACCATCCCTCACATGTGAGCAAGTAGTTCAGAGGGTCAAAGATAACTGCTGCTGGATAGCTCTGTAGCGCTTAAGGATCTTAAGGATCTAGCTCACCAAGATCAACACCTAGGCTCCCCTGCTGGCCGGTTCTGCTTTCTGTTGAGTACACAGATGCCAAGTGTGGCCCACAGTAGTCTTGTTAACTGAGGCCTCCTTTTGGGTGTTTTTTTTTTTTTTTTTTAAGAGAGAGAATTTTTAATATTTATTTTTTAGTTTTCGGGGACACAACATCTTTTTATTTTATTTTTATGTGGTGCTGAGGATCCAACCCAGCGCCCCGCGCATACCAGGCGAGTGCGCTACTGCTTGAGCCACATCCCCAGCCCCTTGTGGGTGTTTTCGTTTGTTTGAATAGAAATTGAAAAGTAAATAGTCATGAAAACCATGCTGGAGACTCTGAAGAGGAGAGCTTCCCAATTGAAGATTCATATAGCCAGGCCTGTTGGCACATGACTGAGGAGGCTGAAGCAAGAGAACCCCAAGTTCAAGGCCAGCCTCAGTAATTTAGTGATACCATGTCTCAAAAAATAAAAAGGGCTCAGTGGTAAAGCACCCCTGAGTTCAATCCCTAGTATCCCTCCCACCCCCCCAAAAAATCATACATATAGATGACTCACAGATTCCCTTTTCTAGGAATTTCTTGTGGTGGTACAACCACATATACCTTAGGTGGTTGGTATAAGGTAGTTATTGTAGAGCATTGCTGATAAAGCAAAAGGTTAGAAAAAACTGAATTTACTTAAGTTATAGAATGTCCATACAATAGAAAACTATACAATGGAATTGGAATTGTTAAAAAATGCTGGGTATAATGGCACATATCTGTAATCCTAGTGACTCAGGAGGCTGAGGTAGGAGGATCGAAATTTCAAAGCCAGCCTCAGCAACTTAGCAAGACCCTAAGCAACTTAGCCAGACAGTGTCTCAAAATAAAAATAAAAGCAGGCTGGGGATATGGCTCAGTGGTTAAGTGCCCCTAGGTTCAATCCCTGTAATAAACAAACACAACAAATACAGGCTTTCATATAACCAGAATAAACAGTAGGTGTTTATACTAAATTGAGAAAAGAGATTGTGGATGGGTGGGGCAGGAAACTCCCTTTCTGTTTTCTTCCTGTCACATTTTAAGAAGTGAGGAAGATATATAGGATAGGGAGCTCTGTGTTCCTAATACTCAGGTCACAGCTGACATGTTGGGAGCTCAGATGAAGCCCCAGCCTGCTTCTGTTTTTCTCTCCTGTCTGTCTGTCCGTCCCTCCCCAGTTCTTACCTGATTTTGGTGTTTATCATTCTCATTGTCAATCTTCACACTTCTGCAACACAGATAAGGAAATGGCTAGAGACTGTAGTGTAGCCATGGCATACATTGAATACTATTTAGCAGTGAAAATAAATAAGTTTTTATCGCATATTTCAACATGCATGGACCTCAGGAGCTTGTGGTTGAACAAAACTTTGGCATCTTTCTTTTTGAATTTTGTATTTTGCATTTTGAAACAGACAAATCCTTAAAATCTAGGAATTTAGATTGTATTTTATTTTGGTAAAATGTCTCTGTTGCACTTTTGCTTTGTATTGCAAATACACATTTTCCAGGGTGCCATGACTTTGGTTATTATGAGATATGTATCCCCTGGATTAGAGGAGGAGGTATGGCATCACTTTTTACTAATATCTCATGTTTTTTTGTGGAAGTTTTTGATCATTTACTATATTCTTGGAATAATTCTTCTAGTATGTTACTGCTGTTTATTAACTGCTGATGTCTTTTGTGGTTTAAATTTTAGATTGCCCTCTTAGACTCCCCTACAGCTTTAAGTATGGAGGAAAAACTTCAGCAGAATGAAGCAAGAGTAAGTGATAACTTATGCTATATTTTTTAAGTCCATGCTTTCTAGTACTTACTTTCCTTCTTCATTACACTGTATTTCCCCAACCCCAATCCTGTGATCATTTTTAAAGATGCACAATAGTTGCATTTTTATGTATTGCATACTTTTCTCTGTGATTTAGTAAATAGGATTTCTGTGGCACATGATGGTCAACTGAGATTAAGTGCACATGCTGGCCTTCCTGACAAAGCAGTAAGACCACTCAGGCCATCTGAACAGGCAGGAGTCCCTGGTGGAGGGAGGCGGAGCTCAACATTCATGAAATAGATGAAACAGCAGTGGTCTTCTCAACTTCACAATGGGCACTGCTTTGCTTTGGTCATTTCTTTACTTTGTTTCCACTGGATGTCCAGCACATGTTTAATTAAGCTGGCTGAGAGTCGAAGCGTTGCAGTGAGTGACCAGAAGAGAGAGCAGCTCTCAGGGGACGAGGCAGGCTGCAGCCAACACTTGTGGGCTGGTGCTTTTTGGAAACCAGTTTCATGGCTGACCTTGTTCTATGCTTTTTTTGTTGTTGTTGTTGTTGTTTTAAAAAATAACACCCTCTGGGAAAAGAGAAACAGACATTAAGAACAATCTTTGGAATGGATTTTCTTCCTAGTGCTGAATGATTAAAACAGACTGAGAAAAATAATTGGATTCTGTTGGTAAAAACCCAAGAATACACAATATGGAAGATATAAATTGGGTTGTACTTAGAAACTTGTTGACACTTCCCTGGGTAATTATGTTGGTTAATAAGCTGATAATAGCGGTAGTAAAAACATTATTTTTTAATCCCTATTTTTCTCATGAAAATGTGTATTTTAGTGCCAGGTTCTAATTTTGAATGCTATGAAATGTCTGGATAGAGTCTTAAATTGTCTCTCAATTATAGTTTCTAGAATACCTGGTAAGCTAATAGAAAACAATAAACATTTTAATTTGAATGCATTACACATGCTGTGACAGAAATGACTGCCTATGTTGTTCGTAACATTTTTGAAGCCTTTGTCGAGTTTTTTGCTGACCTTTTTTAATTGTTTGCCATCTGCTTGGCTATAAATCTCATCACCTGATCACATTGTTAGTGGTGATATCACACATTTGCATTTTTTATTAATGTTTTAAATGACTATTTGATTTAAATATAATGAAAAGATAATTCCAAGCCATCTTTTAAAACTTTTTTTTTTTTAAGGCTAGAATTACTTGATTGAATTTGGAAAGGATTGATTGGTTTGCTTTTCTGCAGTGAGAATATATCTGTTGGTGAAATGCAGAATCATTTGTTTTGAATGCTTTGTGTTCTCAGGTTAATTGCCAGTGAGAAACTCTGGTTAGTATAAATTAGTAAACTCAACGTATCAGGCTATTCCTTTTCTGTAGGAAGAGGATACCAAGAATATTCCTCTCTGAAAGTTTTTTTTTTTTTTTCCAAAACAAAATACCCTAAAATCTTCATGGTTTTTATTACTGTTGTGAATCTGGGGTTGGTATCAGTGAAGGATCAGACAAATCAACATTGCCTTTTCATAGCTTTAGGGATGAGCAAAAAGTGAACCTAGAAAGATTCTTCCACTTCTGTTTCTTTTGTTTTTCACCAAGAAGACGGTAGAGTTTGTCACCAATAACTAGTAAAAGAAGAAACATTATTTAAAAAAATGTAACCCCCACAGTCTTACTTGAGGTAAACTGAGGAGTAAAATGAATGGCCTCTGAATGATTGAGTGTAGGTGGGTGAGGTTTGGTTTTCTTCTTGGATAAACCATCACTCTTGATCCTCCAGTTCTTGTTAGCACCACATTTTCTTTCCTTAAGTTTGCTGACAGGAATGCCCTTTCCAAGTAGTACTTCATGTCTGCTTACACCCTCACTTGTTTTAGCAGTGAGAGTGAAGGCAGATGTATTTTATGGGTCCATGTGTCCTGGTTAAGTGGGGTGGCTCACTGGAGGGAAGACCAGGAGGTTTATGTAGTGAGGTGTCTGCCTCTGGGAGAAAGGAGGGGAGGCAGGAGTGACACTGGCACAGAAAGGAAGAGGTCCTAAGAGGATGACTCCCCTTTCCGAAGGCTCTCTTTTATCCTAGGTCTATTCCTATTCACAGAACACATTTTTTATTCATTTTTTTTTCCTCCTCCACTCAATTCAGGTATCACTTTTTCCTTCCTAATGAATTAATCATTAGGATCATCTGAAATTTTTTCTGGAACTAGTAGGAAATGTCCACTAATTTTGAAAAACAATTTCTCCATGATCAACAATGGGAATGTTTTCTTCCCAAAGATATAGCAGAGTGGAAAGAAGCTGCTTTTTATCAAAAGATCTTTTCTTTCACTAATAGAGTCAATTAAAGTACCACCTTTTTTTTTATAAGATAGAATGAGATTTTTAAACCCCATTAATTAGCTACAAAAGCACATTATCTCCTAAAAGAAAATGCAACATCCAAGGTGATTTAATCACTACATCTAATTAGAAAGAAAAGTAAATCACTATTTCTTAGGACCCAAAGTATAGTCAGGAAAAATTAACCCATTTAATGGGACATTGTCATCCTTGAACTTGTGATTTTGGTTAATAATCCACAGAAACAGCTTTAGTTAATGTGCCAGGAAAGACTGTTGTAAAATTCTAGGCAACTTGATTGACAATTTCTGTCAGTTTTTTCCTTTGCCAAAATGTAGGTTGTAGGATGAGATCAGCTTGTTTGACTTATATTTGGTGATATAGCTTTTGTAGAAATTGCTAGCTCATTTAAAAAATAATACTTTATCTTTGCATAAGTTCTAAGAATTTGGAAGCTTTCTATAAGAAAATCTTATTAATTATTAAAAATAACCACTTTCTTTTTAGGTTCAAGAATTGACCAAGGAATGGACCAATAAGTGGAATGAAACCCAAAATATTTTGAAAGTAAGGACTATAAAAAGGTGTTTTAGTCTTACTGTGTTGGCTTAAGTATGTAAACCTTTTTTTTTTTACCCCCCTTTTCATACCTGGCAGTTTTGTGTTTTGCTTAGGGTAAAGTCAGTGGAGCCAATTAGTGACTATGTTTGACTGGTTGATTTTGAAGAATTGGGAAAGTAAGTAGTTTATTAGACATTAAAGCTGTATGTTTTAACATGCACAGATTATGTTGATATTTAAGATATTTACTTTTACTTGACTCTTTTTATTCTTTAGGGGCATTCACATTGTTTTTCTGCTTTTGCCAAAGTCAATATATTAAATTAAAAATATACTTTCCTTGACAACATTGTAGAGTATGTTTGCGTGTGTCATGACTAAATTTCAGAAATTTCTAAACTAGTAATGTCTTATCAAAATGTTTTTCATGTGTCTCAAGGACTAGACTGTGTGATGGTATGCATTTCTGGCAGGACTTTGAAAATTCTTAGAGGCCTCCATTTTTCATGGTTGGTGCTTCAAAATACTAGTTTCTTTATGTTTTTGTATTTTTGCCGGCTTGGGTATAAAATCTCTGACACGTATTGAGGGCCAGTAACACCAGGTTTGAAGTTCAGGTTAAAATTTTGTGCACTGATGGCATCTGCCTGACTTTAGCACAAGGGAAGGCAGTTCAGAGGCTATTGAATCTGAGTTTTTTGTTCATTTGTTTCTTTGTTTTGAGGTCTGTTGAAGTAGGACTATCTCAAGAGTTAAACCTTTATCTAATGTTGACAAGTCTAGATAGATGAGGCTTAACTGACTGTCTGGGCAGAACCCTAACTTGGATCCCCATCACCTCAAAATGGCGCATCCAATCACTGGTTCATGGAGGCAGACTTTTGACAGTCTGGATTAGAAATTAAGTTCTGTCTGTATCTAACAACTGTCTCAAAGAGCAGAGCCAGCATTATACTTCATAAAGATCTTGGGAATCGGGGATAATAAGAGTGTTTTTCATGAGGTCAGAGGTTGTGTCCAAATTTCAAATGGTAGCAGGTTGTGATGATCCTGGTAATTTTCTTATCAGTTTCAGGAAGCACTGTACCAAGTAAGAATTTTCACATTCAAATTTCCTTCTTTCTCCTTATTATGATAAGAATGTTGTACTATTTTGTACAGAAGATGTATACTGTACTTCTGCAACATTTCCTTTTTCAGATTATATGTATGTATTTATATATATATGTATATATATATGTACATGGCCCTGGACATCAACCCTGAGCTTTTGGGCCTTGCCTGTGTTAGGAAAGTCCTCTGATTTACTGATTTACACCTTAGCCCAGGTTTGTTGAGAAATTTTAGTGCATGAAACCAAACAAAGACTTCACTCACATTTCAGAATAGATATGTATGGAATAAACACTTTTAAAGAGGTACAATATTTTTTTGATGTTACATCTACTCTTAAGAGATTGTGTTGTAGCTCCTGAAGCCCCAGTTCTTTGAACTTTCATTGTATAATGTATTTTTCCCCAGAAAATTTGCCAAGGAGGGAGGAATAATATCTCCATTTAAGGAAGAAAGAAATTATCACTAGTCAGCTATTTGAAAAGTCACTGTTGTATGTAGTGCCCAGTAACACCAGAAGCACTGTAGCAATAAATTGAAAGATATAAGCTTGATCTGCTGCTGCTGCTTCAGTGTCTCCTTTGACACTATAGGGTTTTCTTTCTTTTTTCTGTGTGTGTGTGTGTGTGTTGCTAGAGCTCAAACCCAGGGCCTTGCACAAGCTAGGCAAGTGCTCTACCACTGAACTACATTCCCATTTACTGTAGTAATATACTGGGTTTTATAATGGCCCTGCAAAATTTTATTTTGAAAGTCACAATGGTGAAACCTCTGAACTTTTTCTTAGGCTTTTTTTTTTTTTTTTCCTTATAAGGTGATTCTGGGCCAGAAGCTAAATCTTCCTTTAATTCCAACCCAATTTTTCCTAAATCTAATTATATTTATTTTTAAAAAGATTTTTTCAGATGAGAAGGAAAAATATGATACATGTTAGGTGTGAAAGGTTAGGAGGAAGGCAAATGCTATTTCGTGATTTTTTCCTTCTCTCGACCTTGCAAGCCTGTTTTAGATTTCTCTGCTGGTATTTGTGCTTTAAATCTATAGTCGTTTCTGCTCACCTTTGGTACTTTAAGGGTTGTCTTCATCTCTTATTGGAAGACTGTACATGCAGGCTGGAGTGAAGAAGAGGAGAATTTGAATGTTTTCATTGAAAACTTTCTTTGGAATTGATTGCAATTCCATGGGTATATATCTGTTTGGCTTGTGTAATCCTCTCCTGTATTTCTGCTGTGTTTCATCATAATACAGAGTACTGCATGAAATTCATCTCAAATCAGTGGCAATGATCTTTATTGTATATTTACATTGCCTGTTTTTATAAGTCTTGAGATTTAACATGTATCATTTGCAGTAGCTTTAGAAACATAGGGATCTTCCCTCCCCCCATGTAGGGGGAGGAGTCTAAGCTCAGTGTGTTGGGTGAAGACACCCTTAAATCTGAATTACTCTTGAAAGTCCCTTAAATTTGCCTGGACATCACTGTATCCTTAGCACTTAGGTGCTCAAGTCAGGAGTATTTTTGTTCCCTTCTTTCTACATCCAATCTGTGGTTTCTCTTGTTCTAGATAAGTAAAATCCAAAATATTGTTGCATGAGGGTGGAGGGACAGTGACAGACCTCTAGGTGCATGTGTGCTCTGACAAAAGGTGCTGACTGTTTTAGCAGAGCAACATGATGATAGAAGCTGGAACCTGAGCTTTGATCTATGGAACTCAGAACATGGATCTTAGGCTATTTCCTTTCTGATTCACTGAGCTGTATCATTCATCTATAAATGTCATATACCTTGGTTCCCAGCTTGGAAATCATGGTGGATGGCAACCTCTTTGTTATATCCAAGTTAGCAGGGTAAGAGATGATAAAATCTTCAGCATTATTTTGAAAGTAGTTGACAGCAGAACATGTATTTTACTTAAAGAGGCAGGTCCTAGGCCAATAGGTAATGAGGGAGAGTTCTCTTACTGTGCTCGACATCTCCTCCCTTTCTGTCCCTGTAATCCACCTTCCTCATTTTCATTAATCTTCATTTTCTGAAGTTCATGTTCCCTTGTTGGATCTTAAAGGCAGGTGTCTCCTGTTCAGTTTCATCTGAGCAGTCCTGTCATGGTTCTCTCTTCATCTCAACCTGCTGGGTGACATGCTGGTTGCTGAGTGCAGTAGGGAATTGGATTTCTTGGAGTCCCTTAGCTTTTGCTGGTGTTGCTTTGTCACTAGGGATACTTTTGCCTTTCTGTGCTTCTGTCAGAATCTACCTCGAGGCCCATTGATCACCCCTTCTCTCCTCTCCCTTGCTTCTCAGGATAAATATTGCTTTCTTCTGTACTTTTATGGCATCTGCTTTTATATCTGGCATAGTGCTCATCATCATTTGAGTTAGGCAGTATTGGTTTCTCCCTCTTGCTGCCAACACGTCCATAACAGAAAAGAAGAGCAGGAGCTGGCCCTGGACTGCATCTCTTCATCATTCTCTGAGCCAACTTCTATGGCTCTGCTTCAAACTTAGCAGGCACACATTGGAAATTTACAGGATTAAACAGTAGCAGTAAACAAAAAGTAAATTGTATTAATCTGCTCAGACTGCCATAACAAAATACCATAGACTGTATGGCTTAAACATCAGAAATTCATTTGCTCACTGATCTGGAGGCTAGAAGTCCAAGATCAAGACGTTGGCATGGTTGGTTTCTCCTGAGGCGGCTTCTCCTTGGCCTGCAGATGGCTACCTCCTCATGTCCTCACGTGACCTGCTCTGTGTGTCTGCATCCCAGTCTCCTTCTGTGTATCCTAATCACCTCTTATAATGGCTACAGTCACTCTGGATTAGGGCTCACCCTAATGGCCTCATTTCAACTTAATCATCTTAGTCAATTAATTTTAACTTATTATAGGTCCAGTCTTTAAATACAGTTACATTGTGAGGTACTAGGGTTTAGAGCTTCACCATGTATTTTGGGCTGAAACAATTCAGCCCTAATAACAACCTTGAACTCTACAGATCTGGTGACCTTGTGGGTAACACACCATGAAGTATTGTGTGGGGAGCATTTCTACCCTAGTGATGCTTCTGTATACACCATCCCATTTTTCTCATTTATATTTGAAAATTTCATATATGACTGCATATTTTTATTCTTGAGAGAATTATGGTTAAATTCCTTTTGATAATAGCACTGTCCTTCACGTAGATCAGTTAGATCCTTGTCTGTTCCAAGTGTGGCTTCTGGATCAGCATCCTTAGCACCACCTTGGAGCTGTTTAGAAATGCAAACTCTGGGTCCCCACTCCAAACTTCCTGGGGCAGAATCTGCATTTCAGAAAGGTCTCCAGGTGATGCATCTGTTACTTCAGGTTTGAGTGCTAACTCAGATGTCCCTGGGAAAGGTAGAGCCATTCTTCCCCTTCTTTTGCTCTGCCCTGTGCTGTGGGGGCTGACTCTTATGGGCTGCCCTTTCTTAGGGTCCTATGAATCTCCCTTTGGGAGATTGGAGAAAACAACCAGATCCCTCCCCTCTGGCCTCGTACACAATCTTCAGTGGCAGGTGCCTGTCTTCTCCATGGCTCTAGTTCCTGCCAGCAAGGAGTGATTGTGGCACTTACAGTTCTGCCTGGTGACTTAGACCTGATCTCCAGAAACATTTTCTTTCTTTGCCCCTCATCTGATGGTGGTACTGACTCTCTGTTGTGTGTGTGTGTGTGTGTGTGTGTGTGTGTGTGTGTGGCCTCCTTGTCCCAGAATGCTTTCCAGCTCTTTCTTTAGCTGAGCATCTAGTTCCCTGTTTTGAAGTCCCTTAGGTTTAAATACTGAATGGTTTCAATTTCGTGGGACCTTGTCTGATGCCTGTGGTGCTCCACATCTGCTCTCTCGACTGTGCTGCTGGCCCTCTGGTGTGTTC